CACACACACACACACACACACACACACACACACACATGCGTTTGCAGGCCCCACGCGGCACCAGCGCTTTAATTTTCCCTCGCATAAGGCACGCCCATGGCTTTACTTCTCTCTCTCTCTCTCTCTCTCTCTCTCTCTCTCTCGCGCGCGCGCGCGCGCGCACACACGTGCTCGCGTGCGCTTGCAGTTGGATGCAATGTCGCTTAAGAACAACAGGTGCACTTTGAACTTAGGGACCTGGTGCTGAAATGGTCAAAATTTAACGGTCGCGCGCGTGCTTGCAGTTGGATGCACTGTCGCTTGAGAACAACAGGTGCACTTTGAACTTAGTGACCTGGGGCTGCAATGGTCAAATGGTCAAAGGTATCATCAAGCCCCTAGGCCTTTTGTGCACATCCTCCTCCAAGGCCCTTCTGCCAGCACCAGATGATTTCTATACTCTTACTAAAGTATAAGCCGAGTCTCGCGTAACGCTCCCGCGAGGCCCGACCACCATTGTTGGGAAAACGTCATGTTTGGCCCGCAGTGTCGTATGGCCCGCACTGGCTGGTGGGGTCGCAAATATCCACGCACACATTCGGGTAGACATACATAGCTGGAGACTCCGAGTTTTTTTTTCCGTGTCTTTTGGACCCAGGTTCAGTTGTTTGGTGGACTGTTTTCTTTTGTGTTTGGCGGCGCTTTGTTTCCATTTGCGCTGCTCATAGCAGCCCATAGCTGCAGGCTTCGAGTTGTTCTTTTTTACTTTTTTTCAGCATCTTCTGGCCCCAGGTTAAGTTGGTCGGTGGGCTGTTTTGTTTTGTGTTTGGAGAATGAATCTTCTGCGGCGATGCTTTGTTTCCATTCGCGCTGTTCATAGCAGCCCTTTGCAGCGTGTTCGTTGCTGGCGCGCCACTCATGCTCGAATACGAGTTCATAGCTGCGCGTTTTAGCGTGTTCGGATTCAATGGACAACATACCAAAAAGATATAGAGACTTACATGTTCTCTCTCTCTCTCTCTCTCTCTCTCTCTCTCTCTCTCTCTCTCTCACTGACATTCACACATGAAAAATAAAAAAATGGCAGTGTATATTTTCATGTTCTAGCGGAAGATTCATTCCGATTTTGCTCATCCTATCGATGGACGTAGTCTCTCTCTATCTCTCTGCACGCATGGCTGGACAGCAATGCATATTTCCATATTCTAGCGGAAGATTCGTTCTGATTTTGCTCATCCTATGGATGGAAATGACCTCTCTCTATTTCTCTGCGTGCATGGCTGGAAAACTCTCTCTCTCTCTCTCTCTCTCTCTCTCTCTCTCTCTCTCTCTCTCACACACACACACAGACACACACACACACAATCAGTTTTATGTCTGTCATTCTTTTCTTCTGTTGTTTGTCCTCTTTCTGATTTTTTCTAAGTTTTTTTGTGTGCCCGACTGAGCACCCTTAGGTAGTGCCAAACAGTCGGTGGTTCCTCGTTTGGAGTGCCAATTGCACTCTTAGGGGGGCGCTCGGTTCGGGATGTCTGTGTTGCCTGTAGGTGATGACGAATGCTCGTTGGAGTGTCGTCCTTGCTCAGTGGGTGGTGGGAACCAACAGTCTGTGGGGTTCACCCGTGATGTGAGTAGGTGATGTGGTCCATGTTGGATGTGTGGACGACCCCGTCTGCGCTCCACCACTGCCTTGCTGCCCGTTCCGCTTGCCTCGCAGGTTGTTCTTGGCATGCTGCTGTTTTCGCTGTGTGGTGTGGCTGGGTTGTGCTGTTGCCTTGTGCTTCGCTGCCTTGCTGCCTTGCCGCCCGTCCGGTAGTCGTGTCTTCTGCGCTGCCTGGTGCTCCGCAGGGTTGCTGCCCGCTGCTATGTTCCGCTTGGGGACAGTCTGCCTTCAACAAGGGTCAAAGGGTTCATGACCCAAACCGTCAAATACGGGGATTCAACAGATTGTCGAGGGTTCAGCCTCCTGATGAGTCGGTGCAATTCCGACGAAACAATCTTGTCATCATCAGTTTATTTTTTTAGGTCTTCCGATTTGCTTTGGACTTGTATTTTTTTTTCTGTTTGTCTGCCTTCGTGTGCTTGTGTGCCTGTTTCATGTCTTGCATATTGTCTGCCCTCCCGCCTCCCCCGTGCCCTCCAGCCTTTGCCTTGGTGTCCTTTTGCTTGCTTTACTCTGATGTTTTTCTTGTCTGTCTGGTCTTGGCATCGGTTTGGGACTTTGCCTGCTGGTGTGCTTGCGCGTTGTCTGCCCTTCCGCCTCCCCCGTGCCCTCTAGCCGTTGTATCTTTAGTATCCATGTTGTGGGCAGTCGACGTCTTTTGTTTGTGAGTGCACTTGACTGCGAAGCGTTGGAACGCATCTTAGGGAGGTCATGTTGAGTCTAGTCCTCGGGGAAAACCATGCCTTGGTGTGAAGTTGTTTGAGTATGGCTGGAGGGAACATCTTGGGAACTTTACCCTGATCGGTGACGATGGATCGGGGTGCGTATTTGTTACGTGCTGAGGCGTCCACAATATGTGTTCACACTGTGTGTCCGAAAATCGATTTAACGCGGGGTCCGCGTTAAAAAATTGAACGCGTGTTCAATTCACGTTCAATCCCCGTTCAAACGCGCGTTGGACACGAATGAACGGGGTCCACGAACCATTATTTCGGGCTCTCGGGGGGGGGGAGGGGTTTTTCTGAAGGTGCGGGGTGGTAGTCTTCGTTGTCGGGTACTGCCCCGTGCATTCATTTTTATTTTTATTTTTTCCAAAGAAAAAAAAAAAACCCGCGGGGCACCGGCCTCCTGGAGTCCTGGGGGTTGGCGCAGGGGGAACGGGCCGAACACGTACTTAACAGGCAAGCGCGTTCGGCCGCGGCTCATTTGCCGCGCGAGCACTAACGGTCCAACGTGTCAAACGGGTTGCCCGTCAGGTTGGAACGCGCGTGAGAGAGAGAGAGAGAGAGAGAGAGAGAGAGAGAGAGAGAGAGAGAGAGAGAGAGAGAGAGGTGCGCCATAGCGCGCACGAGAGAGATAGAGTGCGCCTTGCGGCTATGGCGGGGAAGCGGCGGAGCGGGTCGA